GCGATCCTCAGATCTCAGCCTCCTGAGTAGCTAGGATTACAGGCGTGAGCCACCAGCGCCCGGCTCTCCTCTTGATTTTAAGTGTACAATTTCACTCTTAGTGCACTGTACAGAGTTGTGCAGTTGTCTGTACAAACCAGTTTTAGACATTTCCCGTTAACTCCAGCCTCTGGAGTTGAGTTGGCAGCCATTGCTGTCCCCTCCTGCGGCTTGTCCTCCTGCTTGCCCATTTGCTGTCCCCGGACTGGCCTCTCTGTACCTTTACTGTGGACCCAGCCATGCACCACATGGTCTTTTGTGTTTGAATTCTTTCTGGGAACATGATGTTTGCTATGAATTTCAGCTTGCTTGATCTCTTCTCAGAGACCTTTTTCTGCCTTGGGTTTCCAGTCTGTCATCTATCTGGTGGCGTTTTTTTGTGGGGCATTGGTGGGCCCGGGTCTGCAGTACACCGGATGTGCTTTTATCTCTAGCCCAGGAGGAGAGGGTTCGAGCGATTTGGACCAGAAAGCATGGGCAGGAAGCGGAAGCCATTTTTCACGTATGAGGAGCCAGATGCCAAACTGTCCCGTGCTGACAGCGAAGGAGATTTTTCTGAAAATGGTACTTTGTGTGGGTCAGGGTGTAGGGTGGGTGTGCTGTGACTCAGTGGCCCACCAAGACCGGGAGAGTTGGTCTGTTTTTCTCAGGCTTCGACCCCTCAACTGCCAGTAGGAACTGGGGCCACAGCCAGAGGCTGACATTTCCCATTTCTTTGTGTGTGGCAGATGATGGAGCTGGTGACTTCCGGTCAGGAGATGAAGACTTCAGGGGTGTAAGTGTGTTATGAGTCAGCCTCTTTGTCTCGGTGGGATGTTTCTTCTTCATTCTTCACAAAGGAGGGGGATAAGCTCTGCTAGAAAACCTCTGCGGTTGCTTGTTCTTTCTGTGCCCTTACTGGGGCTTGAACTCAGGGCTCAGCGCTCTGAGACCTTGAGCCTCAGCTCCACTTCGGGCTTTTCTATTTTTTTGCTCTTTCATTAGAGAGAAATGTCTTGCAGGTTTTCCTGCCCAAGCTGGCTTTGAACTGTGATCCTCATGTCTCAGTCTCCTGAGTAGCTAGGATTGCAGGAGTAAGCCAGTGCCTGGCACGGGCTACGTCCTGAATAGATTTGTGCCCCGATTGGTAAATAGGTAGCTGATAGTTTTCTAGCTACAGTAGTGTTGTCATCCTCTCTGAACGCTCCATTCTCCGCCCGCCATCACTCCCGTGCCCTTGTCGGGGCGGAGGCGGTGCAGGCTCCGGCTGGCCACATGCCCGGGATGCTCACACTGGCTGGTGGGGCCGCGGCCCTCATTCCTAGGAGAGGCCTCCGAGGCTCCAGCTGGAGAAGGCAGGGACTTTGCTCTCTTCCTGTGGGTTTTGATCCTCGGGGATCTGGGCCTGAAGAGCCCAGTGTGCAAGCATTTTCTCTGGCTGTTATGTAGGCCAGCCATGTGGTCAGCCCATTTTTCAGCTTTTTGTTTTTCCCCAAGAGTGCTGGGAGTGGGTGGAGGCAGGTGCTCCTACCACTGAACCATGTCCCCAGTCCTGACACTTACTCACCGTCTAGTTCAGCTGGCTTAGGTCTTGAGACTGGGAATCCACAGTGCTCTGTGTTGCTAACAATCTTAGATTCCCCGTTTCAGGCATGGGCTGCTCAGGCATTCTGGGGTCCTATTCGTACACACGCCTGGTGTGTTAAAACGCTGAGGAGATAATGAGCTGATTTACCCATCAAGAATGCTGGAGTAGGGGTTCCTCCGGCAGGCCTGCTGCTGGCATTCGGGGGTACAGAGCTGGGAGTGTGCATCTGTGGCTTGCGAGGGAAGTGCAAGCCTGTGTGTGACAGCACAGCCGTCCTCAGAGTCTTGCAGGGCCACAGAAGTGATAACGTGCCACGTGCAGGCTCTGCCATGTGTCCCGACTCCTTGGCGCACAGCTGGGGCCTGGGGTGAGGCGCCACCCGAGGCCGGGCGGGGGTCGCAGAGCCATGTGTGTCTCTTCCTTTTCAGGAGGACGAGCTCTGTGACTCGGGGAAGCAGAGAGGTAGGTGTCACCTCGTTTCCTTCCAGCTTTCCTGTGCTGTCCCTTATGCAGCTCCCAGCCAGGCTGGGCTCCTAAGCAAGCTGGAGGCCTGCATGGAGGGGGTGCGGCTTCCCGGCGGAGTCACCCTGAAGCTTGGCTGTGGCACTGCGGGCAGGGAGCCCATCTCTGGGTGTCTTGAGTGACCCCCTCGGTAGAGAAGGGAGCTTGAAATAAAAGAGGCCCCTTTGGCCCCGCTTCTGTCCCTCTGTAGCCAGCGCAGGTCCCCGAATTCTCACCTGGGTTTTGTAATGTCTAGTTCTTCCTCAGTTGCCAGCCTTGTCAGGACGCTTGGCCTCTCTGCTGGGGATACGGATGGCTGCAGCGTCTGTATGGGGGACAGGAAGCAGATTACGTTTTGGGGTTGGGAGCCAGGAAGTGAGGGGGCGGCCTGCACCCCAAGCAGCCAGACCTGGATCTGGAGAGGCAGTCGTTGGCCAGCAGGTCTCATCAGCTCCCGGGCAGAAGTGCAAGGTAACGCCCCTGGGAGGGGCTGGAGAAGCAGCCTGCCCCGGGGGGCCTCGGGCCTGCCCGAAGCCACCAGGCTCCTCCGTGATCTGTCCAAGCCGTGTTACCCCAAGGATCGCAGGCTGGCCCGTGGCTGGGCTCCTATCAGAGGCCCTCAGGCCTAGCTGACCCTGCAAGGTCCCCGCCCCCACAGCAAGCAGTCGAGTCTCTTCCAAGCACTCAGCAAGCTCGTGCAGCCCGGTACATGCTAAAGCAAAGGTGACGTGTTTGTTACGCGCAGGTCCTGCTACCTCCCCGGATGACTTTGCTATTAAACAGCAGTCATAGTTTCAGGCAGTGACCTCTTGCCAAAAGTCCCACACGTCCTTTTGAGAGGCTTCTGAGCAGCGCACGCCGGTCGCCATCTTCGTGGGACAGTCTCGGGACTGGCATCAGGGGTAGGGGTTACAGTTCAGATGCTTATCCGACCTGTTTTCAGCATCCGGCCTTGGCCCTGAGCCTGGGGGCCCACCTGGCCTCCTGCCAGGACGCTGGGGACATGGCACAGCTCTCGGAGCTCCTGCCCCGGCCTCAGGGAATGGACGGGAGGACCAATTGGTCTCTTCTCATCTGTTTCTAGGATCGCTTCCCACGCAGCTCTGGGAAAGCCCTAGCTAGGTTGGCGGTTTTTGTGAATGGAAGATAGAGGCCGGGCCAGCACGGACCGTGAGACCTGCTGAGGCCTTGGTTCAGAGGAGGCCACCCAGACGGTCAGCACGGCCCACCTAGAGGTGGGACCGAGGGGAGTTTATTTCCGGGCCTCGCAGCTGCTGCCCCTGCCTGCGGCGAGTCCGTGGGGCGCCGCGTTGGACGGGCAGGCCGGCAGGCTGGCGTGGGAGCGGGCAGGCCAGGCCTGTCCCAGCCCTGTCTGGCCACGGGGGACAGAGGTGACTCCTCTGGGTCCCACAGGAGCCTTTGGCCGCCCTGCAGTGCCTCGAGGTGGCCTGGCCATGCCACCTGTGGCGGCCGAGGCTGGGCATGGGGTGCGCTGGCTCAGCTGCGGCCCCCGCCCTCGGGATGGCCCCGGAGCTCGGCTCCCGCGCGCGTGGTCCTCAGCATCTCCAAGGGACTTCTCTGTTACAGGAGACAAGGACGACGAGGAGGAGGATGGGAAGAAGAGGCGGGAAAAGCAACGGAGAAGAGACAGGACACGGGACCGGGCGGTGGACAGGTCAGGAGCCCGCAGGACATGGCCCGCGTGCCCTCCCCTGACCCCCTCCCCCGAGGGCAGCCAGACTGGGGTGCACTCCTGGCTCTCCCAGCTCGCATTGGTCCTTTCTCTGCAACGCAGGAGCCGAGTCTGGCTCCGTGTGCTGGGTCTGGCAGGGCAGGCGTGAGCAGTGAGTTGGAGGACGTGGAGAAAGGGTGGCGTGAGGCATCTCTGCTTGCATAGACAATGAGTCTCTGCCGCCACACTTCCTCCTCCCTCCGAAATTGGAGCCTTGCTGAAGGGTCCGTGTGGCCCCTGTGTGCCTAGCAGGGGCCTCCCTTGCTGCGCTGCGCTGCGCTGCGCGTAGGCTGAGGGGCGGCCCGGCCTGTCCCACTGTGACAATGGTGTTAGGCATTTCAGAAAAGGATCTCCAGCCCATCAGTGCCCCCCAGGGCAGTAGAGATTCACACAGGGAGAATGCACGCGTGTGCACACGATCCTTGCAGGTGTTTGCGGGGACCCAAGGGCGCTGCTGGGGCCACGCTATGGGTCTGCCTCTCATGGTGAGGTGGAAAAACAAAATGACCAACAACCACGGAACAGCCTGATAGTCTTCGGCACACGTGCTGTGTGTCTGTGCTAGGCTCTCCTGTAACGTAGAAGACTCCCTGCTTTTCCTGCCAGAGATCAGAGACCAGGAATGACATCAGGGACCTTCTGTGCTACAAATGACCAAATTGTCCTTCTCCACAAGTTGCCCACATCTGTGTTTTTGTTTTTGTCAGTCGTGGGGCCTGGCCGCTGGCCTTCAGCTCAAGGCGAGCACTTGAGCTGAGCGCTTGAGCCACAGCACCACTTCTGGCTTTTTCTGCTTATGTGGTGCTAAGGAATCAAACCCAGGGCCTCATGCATGCAAGGCAAGCGCTCCACCACTGAGCTACCTTCCCAGCCCCCCACATCTGTTTTCATGCCACATGGAAGCAGGTTGCTTTGCAGTGTAGGTATGGAACTGGAACCCAGGGCTTTGCCCATGCTTGATAATTGCTTTACCACCCTGTCCAGTGACCTCTAGTTATGTGTTTGTTTTGTTTTCCAGTGCTGGGCCTTGAACTCAGGGCCTGGACATACGTCTTTTAGCTTTTTTTGCAAGGGGGGGGTTGGGGCTCAAAGCTTGCCCTCTATCTTTTGAGCTACTGCTCCACTTCTGTCTTTTTGCTGGTTAACTAGACAGCAAGTCTTAATGACTTTCCTGCCCAGGCTAGCTCCAAACTTCCACCCTCAGATCTTCGGTCTGTTGAGTATTTAGGATTATAGGTATGAGCCGCTGGCATCTAGCTTCTAGCTAGTTTTATTGAAACACGGGTTCGTTGGAATCCTGTTTACAGGCCAGATTGGCCTCATTCACAGCATTTCCACCTGCAGCCTCCTGAGGAATAGGATTATTTATGGTGGTGTGCTGTGGGATTCTGCACTAATGAGCAAGAAGTGCAGAGGAATTGGCTGTCCTAGGGGTGGCAAAGAACTGCATCCCGCACCTCTGCAGGAACTTCTGGACTAGGCCTGTGCCCAGGCCCATGAAAGAGATCCTCTACCCTCTTTCCTGGGAAGCAGCGCCCTCCTCCATGCAACCCACCCTTCCCACACGGTGCTGCCATTTGTAATCCTCGCTACTCAGGAAGCTGAGATCTGAGGCTCATGGTTCAAGGCTGGACCAGGCAAAATAGTTCTCTATATGCTTCATTTCCAAAATATCCACCAAAGGCCAGGCTGGAGGTGTGATCAAATGGTAGAGAGCCAGACTAGCCCATACAGAGGCAATATCCTCAGTTCAGACCCCTGAAACCACCAGCACATAGAACCTTTGCTTTTAGCCTTACAGTTTGCCAGGCCTGAGATGGCTGGGAATGTAGTTTACGGGTAGAGGGCCGCCCTTGGGGCTCTGGGTTCCATTCCAGCACTCAGTGTGGCTTTCGTGTCATCGCCTTTTCTTTACATCAAGTCTGAGGGAGCCCTGCTCTTGGGTGTGAGAGCTTCAGGGATTTCCCCCACATAAGGAAAGGTTGCCCGAGCCATCTTTGTGGCTGCAGAGAGAAAATTATCTGAGATACAGAGTATGTTCAGTATTGTAACAGTCACCAGATCTGGGGGAAGTCACTGTACAGGAAGTTCTGACCTGGGGGGGAGGGAGGGCATGTCGGTGCAGCTTTGGGCCCAGAGAATTCTGGAGTGTCGCTGTACTGTACGATCGTTTTCTTTGAGGTATTCACAAGGATCTGCCTTGTTCTTTTTTTTTGGGTCCGGTCGTGGGGCCTGAACTCTGGGCCTGGGCGCTGTCCCTCAGCTCTTCAGCTCAAGGCGAGCGCTCTACCACTTGAGCCACAGCGCCACTTCTGGCTTTTTTTCTTTTTGCTTATGTGGTGCTGAGGAATCGAACCCAGGGCCTCAGGCATGCGAGGCGAGCACTCTACCACTGAGCCACCTTCCCAGCCCTGCTTTGTTCTTTAGTTCTATAACTGCTCCTCTGCTTGGCTCAGAGATGGTGATTCTTTTCCCATTTGCGTCTGCCCACAGATAATTTTCTTTCCCACTCTTCTTTGAGTGCTCTTATGCGCATACCAGTCTTGAGGTTTGAACTCATGGCTTAGGTGCCGCACCTGACTTTTTGGCTTCAGGCTATTGCTCTTTTACTTGAGCACAGTCCGCTTCCTGCTTTTTTGGTTGCTTAGTTGGAGATAAGGAATTTCACAGACTTTCCTGCTTGGCCTGACCACAAACTGATCCTCAGATCTCACCTCCTGAGCCGCTAGGGTTACAGGCGTGAGCTACTAGCCCCCGCTTCATTGCTCTTTCTCATTTCATTTTTCTTTTCCAGGATTCAGTTTGCCTGTTCTGTGTGCAAGTTCCGTAGCTTTGAAAATGAAGAAATCCAGAGCCATCTGCAGAGCAGATTTCATAAAGACACATTGCGGTTTATAAGCACCAAACTGCCTGACAAGACGGTAGAGTTTCTCCAGGTGAGGTGTTTCCTACAACCCCTAGGCGTGCGTGCGTGCGGTTGGGGTGGGGGTAAGAGTCTAAATGTATGTGGGCAGGATTCATTTCCCAGATGTAAATAGTTGAGCAAGTGCCAAGTCTGTCTCGGGGAAACTGAGAGTTCCAGCCGCCATAGGTTCTGCCCACACAGCCTTCTGTCTCCACGGCATCTTCCTGCCGTCTGTGCGGGGGGGGGGGGGGTCGTGCCCCTCCCTGCTGCTTTTCATGTGGTGCAGAGGCAGGAGCCTGCTGGGGTCCTATTCGCTGGCAGTGTGGGAAGGAAAACAGGCACAGTGAGCACCGTCAGCGTAAGATGGTAGTGAAGAGTTGCCTTAACAAAGAGGAAGTAAGAAAAATGAAGAGTAGGACGAACAGTGGGGCCTGGAAGCTGGTAGTCCATCACAGGGTCTTGGGCCAGGCTTTTTTTGTCCCTCCTCTCCCTCCCTCCCTTTGGGCAGTTTGTCAGACTGTGATTGGTTTGTTTGAAACAAGCAAATTCCTCCCCTGGGTGGTAGCCACAGCATGGCTGCTTGCAGGTTGGCTAGCCTGAGTAGGGCTAGACCTAAGACGCCCTTCCTTCAGTGTTGGTCACTGGCTGGCTGGGGACGGAGTGCGCGGACCTGACCTGGTTAGCTGCGACTTCCCTTCAGTGCCATCTCCCACCCCTCTAGGAATACATCATAAACAGGAACAAGAAGATTGAAAAGCGGCGGCAGGAGCTAATGGAGAAGGAAAGTCCCAAGCCCAAACCAGATCCATTCCGAGGTGAGGGGCGACCCTGTGTGTGCACTGTGTGGAACACTTGAGGCGAAACTGTCCAGGCTGGGGTGGGTCAGGGCTGGCGTGCTCGCTGGGCATGCCTGAGACCGGGTTCCTTTTATACACTGCAGAGCTAGCACAGGCTCCTGCTAGCTGTTTCTAACGAGGGTGGAGACACCACACACAGGGCAGCTTAGGACCGTGGTTGTCTCCCCACAGTGTGAAGAGGAGAGGATGGCGGTAGAACATGTGTACACTTCAGCCTTAGAAGTGGTCCCTAAGGAGCTGGGCACGGGTGGCTCCCGCCTGTCATCCTAGCTACTCAGGAACTGAGATCTGAGGATCACAGTTCAAAGCCAGCCGGGCAGTAAAGTCTGTGAGACTCTTCTCTCCAATAAATCACTCAGAAAATTTGGAAGTGGGGCTGTGGCTCAAGTGGTAGAGCACTCACCTTGACCTGAAGAGCTTATGGACAGCACCCAGACCGAGTTCAAGCCCCATGACCACCACCACCAACAAAAAAAGGGTCTTAAGGGCTGGGAATGTGGCTCAGTGGTAGAGTGCTTGCCTAGCCTGCATGAAGCTCTAGGTTCCATTCCTTAGTACCACGTAAACAGAAAAGGCTGGAAATGGCGCTATGGCTCAAGTGGTAGACCACTAGCTTTGAGCACAGAGGGGTTCAGGGACAGATTCTAGGCCCTTGAGTTCAAGCCCCAGTCCTGGCACAAAAAAAATGTTCCTTAGGCCATGCTCCTCCAGGATAGCCTGCCCCTGTCTGTCTCTCAGTCCTAACCAGGGAGAAAGCATGGGTCTGGGGGCAGGGCGCCAGGGCGGGTGAGGGCATGGAGAGCATCACTTGGCTGCTTCCGCTGCAGGGATTGGCCAGGAACACTTCTTCAAGAAGATTGAAGCCGCCCACTGCCTGGCCTGTGACATGCTCATTCCCGCACAGCACCAGCTTCTCCAGCGGCACCTGCACTCCGCCGACCACAACCACAACCGCAGGGTAAGCCCTCCGCACCGAGCAGTGGGGCGGGGTGTCCTGGCTCACGCACGCACCTGCATTCCAGCACTCAGGAGTTCAAGGCAAGCCTGGGATGCAGAGCAAGACCCTGTCTCAAAAACACCAAAGCTGCTGGGTGCTGGTGGCTCACGCCTGTCATCCTAGCTACTCAGGAGGCTGAGATCTGAGGATCTGGGTTCAAAGCCAGCACTAACAGGAAAGTCAGAAAGCTGGAAATGGTGCTGTGGCTTGAAGTGGTAGAGCACTAGTCTTAAGCAAAAGGACTCAGAGACAGCACCCAGGTCCTGAGTTCAAAACACAAGAGACAAAAAAAACCACACCAAGTACAGCTGGGTACCTATTGTAGCAGGCCCTAAGGCCTTTGATAGAGTGTATGGTGCTAGAGGGCGTGGCTGCATGTAGCTCTGTTTCAGCATCTCTATCTCATTTACCCAGCTACTAAGGGGATTTTATCATTAGCTGCCCACCCACCTCTCCGCCCAGCTCCCTCTTCCCACCCTACAAAAGATCAGCAGAAAAGCAAGCCCAGGAACAGGGTACTGCAATGCCTGTAACCCTAATCCTGTCAGGAAAACTGAGCGGCTTTGTCTGCTTCCTCTGGGTTCATATGTGGCTCTTTGTGAACATTGCTTGGCGTCCGATGCATGGTATCAGTGTCGCGCCCTAACTTTTACCTTATTACCTTATGATCTAACTTTCACTTGGCTTCTTTGTGTTTGTTCCAGAGGCTCTCGGGTACCCATGTCTCTGGTTCTTTTTTTTTTTTTGGGTCCGGTCGTGGGGCCTGAACTCTGGGCCTGGGCGCTGTCCCCCAGCTCTTCAGCTCAAGGCTAGCGCTCTACCACTTGAGCCACAGCACTACTTCCGGCTTTTTTCTTTTTGCTTATGTGGTGCTGAGGAATCGAACCCAGGGCTTCTAGCTTGCAAGGCAAGCGCTCTACCACTGAGCCATCTTCCCAGCCCCAATGTCTCTGGTTCTTAGAGCCTGGAGATGGCCTCATGAAGAATGGTGTAGTCTGCGAGGACTACTTGGGGTAGTGTGACCAGTCTTTTCTTTTGTTGCCCTTGGCCTTTTAAAAAAACCCACCTTGGTTGTCATTGCAGATGGCTGCTGAGCAGTTCAAGAAAACAAGTCTCCACGTGGCCAAGAGTGTTTTGAACAACAGACATATTGTGAAGATGCTGGAGAAATACCTCAAGGTTTGTGCCTGTGGGTCCAGAGCTGGGAACGCCATAGACAGGAACAAGGAGCTTTGTATTTGGAGTGCAGCACTTAGGATTTCTAAGTCTTTGGGGAGAATTTACAGAGTGAAGAGTGCATTGAGCGTGGATCTGAGGTAGTGGATTCCCATAGTTCGTGGGGAACTGCAGTGCCATGCCGCTGGTTATCATCAGAAAGAAGCTCCGCTTGTCTAGCTGTAAAGAAGTGAATAAGGGGCTGGGAAGGTGGCTCAGTGGTAGAGCGCTTGCCTTGCATGCTCAAGGCCCTGGGTTCAATTCCTCAGCACCACATAAGCAAAAAGAAAAAATCCAGAAGTGGCGCTGTGGCTCAAGTGGTAGAGCGCTAGCCTCGAGCTGAAGAGCTGAGGGACAGCGCCCAGGCCCAGAGTTCAGGCCCCACAACCGGACCAAAAAAAAAAAAAAAGTGAATAAGGGTGAAGTGCTTTTTAAAACATCATCCATGCCAGCTGTAGTGGCACACGCCTCTACTCTCAGCTACTCTGGAGACAGGCGGGAGGATTGCAAGAGCCTAGGGGGGGCATTCAGCAAGGTAAGACTCTTCTCTCATAGTGAAAATCTAAGAGCCTGGTGCTAGTGGCTCACACCTATAATTCTAGCTACTGAGGAGGCTGAGATCTGAGGATCGAGGTTTGAAGCCAGCCCAGAAGTGGCACTGTGGCTCAAAATAGTAGAGTGTTAGCCTTGACCAAAAAAAGCTGAGAGACAGGCCCCAGCCCGGACTGGCAAAAAATCTGAAGGAACAGCAAGTACAAAATTGGGATTGAGGATGTACTTAAATCCATAGGCTACAAGAAGCGGGAGGGATGAACTCCCTAGCTCCTTTCTGGTGCTCATCCGTGTCTCTGTCCAGGGAGAAGACCCTTTCACCAGCGAAACCACTGATCCCGAAATGGAAGAAGACAACGCAGGAGGGGAGCAGAAGGAAGAGAGCCCTGAAGGGGTGGCTGCAGAAGTGCTGGCGGAGGTGATCACGGCAGCGGTGAGGGCTGTGGATGGTGAAGAAGAGCCAGCGCCAGAGGCCACAGAGGTTCTGGCCCAGGGGGAAGACCCCACGGACACGCCTGAGGCCACCAGCCAGCCCCACGCTGAGCAGCCACTGGAAGAACACGGCTCCTGCGGAACAGCCTCTGAGAAGGGGAACGCTGAAGACCAGGCTGGATGTGAACCACCTGAGGCTGCAAGTGAGGAGGCGGCTGCAGTGGCTGAGACAGAAAGCGCCACAACTGTTGTTGCTCCTGTGCCCGCTGCCGCAGAAGCCGAAGAGGGGCAAACCGATGCCCCCGAGTGCAAAGATGCCACAGCATGACCTCCAGGTGCTGCCAGGGAGCTGGTGGAGCAGGCGGTCCCCTTTCCTTGTTCTTAGGCAGTGGGGCGTGTATTACTGGAACACACTGTACTGGTTTTGGTGGTGATCCTGCTATTTCCTTTCTGGACAGTACCTCCCCACCCGCGCAGGGCTGCCGGCCTCTGAGGTGGCCTTCGACATTTCCCCAGCCTTGAGTGGACTTTTAACACTGCACTTAGAATAATAAAATTTTGGTAATTAGATCATGATTCTTTGTCTGTTGAATTCAGTGAATAGCTAACTTTTTGTTGGTTGTGGGGCTTGAACGCTGGACCTGGGTGCTGTCCCTGAGATCTTTAGCTCAAAGTGAGTGCTCCACCACTTGAGCCACTCACTGTCTTCGGTCTTCTGAGTGGTTTATTGGAGATGAGTCTAATAGCTAGGATTACAGGCGTGAGCCACCACCAGCCTGGTCTTTGCTTTTTAACAGCATTGTCTTTGGGGTTTTCCTTGTACAGTGCAGGAGACTGAACCCAAGGCCTTGTACCATCGGGACTTGTTCTTTACCACCCAGCCCTTTAGTTTTTTTGTTTGAAGATTGGGTCTCATAGCCTGTGGAGTGGTGGTACTGGCATGGCTTTTGTTTTGTAGGGAAAGGTCACACCCACCTGACCTCAGGCAGGGTTATTTCCCCTCCTGTTAATTCATGGTTTTTCAATTTGAGTTAAATTCATTTAAACACTCAAGAAGAAAACATCCCATAGATGGACAAGCAATACAAGGTACAGTAGATAGGAACTCACTAAACATTTCTTGCACACAAGAGCAACTATGTTGCATTCTAGGCAAGTGTTTTCCGGAAGCTGACAAGCAGTGCAGGGTGGCACACAGCCCGCATGCTGTAATCACTAGACTGTCCTGTCCCAGGTGCTCATTCGTGACCTCAAAGCTCTAGTGAAGGTGGGGGATGAACAGTTAGGAGAAAGCCAATCCTAGAACCAACTGTGGAAATAAATGCTTCAGTAAGTGCAGCTGGGCTCATGCCTATCATCCTAGCTACTCAGGAGGCTGAGAGCTGAGGATCATGGTTCAAAGCCAGCCTGGGCAGCAAAGTCCTGAGACATCTCCACTAAACCACCAGAAAACCGGAAGTGGTGCTGTAGCCTAAGTGGAAGAGCACTTGCCTTGAACTGAAGAGCTGAGGGACAGCACCCAGACTGAGTTCAAGCCCCAGGAGAGACTGGGGAAAAATAAGTGCTACCTCAATTTGTGTGTATTTGTGTATGTGTGTGTGTTGGTACTGGGGTAAGAACCCAGCCTGAACACTGTCCCTGACCTTTTTTGCTCAAGGCTGGTGGTGCTCTAAGCCACAGCTCCACTTCCGGCCATCGCTGCTTTTTTGGAGGTCAGAGTCTCCCAGTCTGGCCTTGAACCTTGATCCTCAG